CAGCGCGGGAGGGATACTGGGCGCCCATACTGGGAGGGATGGGGGGAGCCCACCCAGGAAGGGATTTAGGGTGCCCACACGGACAGGGATGCTGGGTACCCATACTGGGGAGGGATTTAGGGTGCCCATACTGGGAGGGATGGGGGGAGCCCACCCAGGAAGGGATTTAGGGTGCCCACATGGACAGGGATGCTGTGTGCCCAGACTGGGGAGGGATTTAGGGTGCCCATGCTGGGAGGGATGGGGGGAGCCCACCCAGGAAGGGATTTAGGGTGTCCACACGGACAGGGATGCTGAGTACCTATGGCAGGGAGGGATACTGAATGCCCATACTGGGAGGAGGGATGCTGTGTGCCCAGACTGGGAGGGATGGGGGGAGCCCACCCAGGAAGGGATTTAGGGTGCCCACACGGACAGGGATGCTGAGTACCTATGGCAGGGAGGGATACTGCATGCCCATACTGGGAGGGAATTTAGGGTTCCCACACTGGGAGGGATGCTGTGTGCCCACACTGGGAGGGAGTTTAGGGTGCCCACCATGAGCACCCACCACAGCCAGGGGTTCTGAGTGCTCACACTGAGCTTTGAGGACCTCCCTCCATGCCCCTCTGCCACCCTGAGCCCGTGACAGCCAGTGACACCTCCATCCACCCTCCCTGCAGATCCCCCGACTGTCACCCTGTCCATCCAGCCCCAGACGGTGCAGGAGGGCGAGAGGGTCGTGTTCACCTGCATGGCAACTGCCAACCCCGAGATCAAAGGCTACAGGTGAGGCTGCAGGACCCCACGGGGTCCCTGCGCAACCTCCTGGCTCAGCTTTGACCCTGGAGGGGTCCAACGGGGTCCTGTGTGCCCCCTGAACGTGCCCACCTTGGGTCTCTGCCCCCGCCCAGGTGGCCCAAGGGGGGGGTGATCATCGAGGACGCCAAGGAGAACAGGTACGACACGCAGGTGGATTACACCTTCTTCACGGAGCCCGTGTCCTGCGAGGTGCACAACGACATCGGCAGCACCAACGTCAGCACCCTGGTGGATGTGCACTGTGAGTGGGGCGACCTCCCTGCCCAGCCTGCTGCCAGCACCCCCAGCTCTGCTCCTCACTGCTTCCACCCCTCCCTACAGACATCGGCTCCGACGTGACGCTGACCTGTGTGTGGTCTGGCAACCCACCCCTCACCCTCACCTGGACCAAGAAGGAGTCCAACATGGTAAGACCTGGCAGCTG